AGAAATGGTGACAGAAATAATCATTCTCTCATTAAATGATACAAAATAAATATTGTTATTTTTTGTCATAATCTATTGTATTTGTGAATGAAGTACCTTGTACATAATGATGGATTTCAGGGTTGAGTTGTCCAACTGCAGTCTGCAGACCAGGTTTAATCTAGTTCCCAAGCATTTGAAAGAATCCCATAGTCAGAATTTAATTTTTAAAGATAGAAACCATCACATATTTCACATTTGTAAAGAGGCAAAATGTTATTTGGATGTTTGCATACCGTCCATTCTGTGAAAAGATGCAACACATTTTGAACAGTGGACAGTTATTTTCTGATATCCAAAGAGAATTATAGAATTAAGTATTGTTGATTGTTAATTAGTATTCAAGGTTTACATCTTGCTCGTGGATTTTTAAGTTGCAATCTGGCCTCTCACTAGTTTCAAGTTGGACAGTTGTAGTGTACTTTCTAGCCCAGCAGAATCAAAGTTCAAATTTGGATCTGCTTTTATTAGTTTCAATTACTTACTTGATCCAGAGCCTGAACTGTAAATTTACCATGTCAAAAGAAATGTTTTGACTTGGTTACTGTTGTAGTGCTTTAATATTCAGAAAATACAGCAAAGAAAGTAATATACAGTTATATTACCTAAACATGTTAGGATTTAAAAAAATATTTTTGTGTTAGTATTTAACAAATGAATTTATTATATGATACTATAAAGATATTTCATTTATTAAAAATCTACTATGTTAGTTAATTCACAGTTTAAAAAAGTATAGTACTTACGGTGAATGGCTGTGTTTCAATTTGCAAACAGTATTGTTTCCCATACTGTAATACATCAAGTCTTTCTGGAATCATGTGAGTGAAAAATGCTTATTTGAAACTTTCCATAACAGTTTCATATTTATTTAACCAAGACACAATAATAGCAAGGAAATCTTATGTAAAAGCCAAGACCAAAGTTTTTAATTCCAACAAGTTACTGCAAGGACTTCCAATATTAATATGTAAGAAACTTAAGTTTATTATAACTTTGTTATTAATAACATTATTATATTTGCTGTGTGGTTTGTAAAATCCATAATGTGATCAGCAAAGGGTAAAAATCAGTAGTGCATCTACAAATGTTATTTCCTAAATTGCTTATATACAACCCACTAAATGCAGATATCTTCCCTTTGAGCTTAACCTAACTTTAAGATTTTTGTATTAATTTTTACTGATTTTACATCTACTATTTTAACCCTCTCTGTTTTCTTTTTCTGTTCTGTAACTCCTAAAACAAATTCCAACACTGTCTGAAGCAAACCCTATAAAACTGAAATTACTTTGAACATCTTAAAGTACAGTTTAGTATAATATCTTCAAAAATTAATCCTCATCACCATGCTTGATTTATTATTGGAAAGCTATTTTATACATAAAGCTGACATTTTGGAATTTGAAATGGATGATTTCAACCTTATAAATGTAAATAAAAGTATATGACTTCAATAAATTATGAGGCAATGCTCTTTTGCAAGTAATAAAACTCATGAAATTTTAAGAGTGTGTTTATAGACTCATTGACTAAAAGTCTAAAAGAAATAATTATCTCTACAAATCACTTGCTAGACCTCACTTGGAATATTGTGTACATCTTGTTTCCTGACATAAGAAAATATACTTATTTATTGGAAAAGGTTCAGAGGAGGGTTGCTAGGATGATTCCACAGATGGGAGGCTTATTAAAAAGTTATCTCTATGGGTGTGGGGGATAAGTTGGCTTGTAGGATCACAAAATGACTGGAAGAAAGAAAACAGAGGGTTTTAATAAATGGAGTTCAGTCAAACTGGATTAATGCCATACATGAGGTACAACAGGGCACAGTGTTGGTACCATTGCTATTTTTGATTTACCTCAATGACATACTTAAAAACTATACTGATGATATTCAGGTATTGGATATTGCTGGCTGTGAGGAGGATGTCCGCATAAATTGTAATGAATTGGATAAATGTTATAACATGACTATGGGAATGGGGAGATGATAAAATAAAACACAATTTATTGTGTCCAGGGGTGTGATTCATTCAGAGAGTTATTTGGGAGGGTGACCAGAGACAAACAATCCTTTCTAGATGCTGAGATGCAATGTTTCATATCTGCAGGGAAGTTTAACAACTTTGAAACTGTAATTTTATCTTCTCAGGTGTCTTGCAGAATTAATGATCTTATTATTATCACTTTTTATTATTTTGTTTTTATTTCATAAAGCATAATTAGATGCAAAGTATGTAATAGCTGCTACATATATGTAGTTGATAAGTCTTTCACTGACATGTTTGTATGTAAACAACTCTCCCAAAGCACTGTTTATTTTTAGATTTATTATGGGAAGGACACATTACGTGTATATAATTGAAAGTTGGAACTTCTAAATTTTGGAAAGTGTGAGGTCTTCTTGGTGGAAAAAATTCCAAACTCCCATTTAATTTATATGACCCCTTTCAAGGCTAAAGCAAAGGTCATATAATGGGTTCCATATAGTACTGTAGAGGGGAACATGTATGTGCCCTTGGCAGTGAAAGTTAAAACAGACATACAGGTGCATGAATACCAGCCATCACCACTCCTTATATGCTTAATGGTTACCATGAAGAAACATATTTTCTGCATATCTCAAAAGGGGAAATGTGAACTGCTACTTTAGTTTTAACTGCAATCACTACATGACACCAATATTCACTCAGTCAACAGTAAACAGCTGAAAACATGCCAGATCCTTTCTTATTAAGAATGGCCCATTGGCTTCAAGAAATTCTTTAAGCTGTTGTGAATTTAAATTTAAAAAAGTATGGTCAGTATTGGATTTTATCTGTTTTCATTTTGCAAGTTATGTGAAGCATAATCAAATGTAATAATACATTATCCAATAAGATTATACAAGAATAGAAATAGTGTTAGAAACTAGTACATAAATCACAGACTTCAAAATGTTTAAGTATTCTATAAAATAGGATGCTTTCAATGATACAAAGATGAATTAGTACAAGGACAATTGCAAAAGATACCATGATGAAGATAATGCATTTTTAGCATGAAAACTAGCAAAGGTTCAAGTGTTGATAGCCTAAAACTAGCAGTAGGTTTACTTATGCATCAGTGTGTTTTATTGAAAATGAAGTTGAAATAACCAATTTATGAGTATACTTGGAGCATCTGATAAATTTGTTAATGATAATGTATCAGGATCACATGCTTCAAAATGTGCTGGCATGCTGTTGCATATTGCACACAATATAAAAATTTTGGTCAGAGGAACCCCGGCTGGAAGCTACGTGCATCGAGAATTTGTTTTATGGCAAGATTCTCACATTCATAGAAGAGGAAGATGGAAAAAACTAAGGAGATTATTGAAAATAGGAACATATCAAAAAGTAGATGCAGAACCATGCTACTAACCATGAACAATTAAAATTACATTTGTGTTCTCAAGGACAGATTATATTATACCAAAAAACCTTTTTTTTTTCTTATTAAAGTTAATGCCAATTGTTATTATAGATGATGAAAAACTTAGAAAATGTTAGTACAAATTACTACCTAGAATTACATGTTTACATAAAATAACTGAAGTAAAACATATATGAAATAACATAGTTTCTACTTAATTTAGTATATCACTGTTTTAAAAATTAACAGAGCAAATTATTTGTTAGTTGCATAAAGTATTAGGTTTTGTTATCATTATTCAAGTCCGTAATATCTTTGAAATAATAAACTAATAATACTGGATAAATATTTAATTACCAACAATTATTTCTATTTATATTTGAGAAAAAATGCACTAAAAACTTAAAATAATAGTCTCCCTACTGTCTCTAGAATGCTAGAAAGTATTGATTAGCACTGTTAATAATATTACCAATTTGTTACATAAGCAAAAATTTCACATCACTAGCCAGAATGAGTAATAGCATACAGTGTGTTTGAACCATGACATTTATCACGAGTTGTTTAACAAGGCATAGATCAAACCTCTACTTGTAGTAAAGTCTTTTTTTTGTCCTGATTTTTCTTGGTAGTCACACACACACACACACAAGAGTTAGCGGTGGGTGGTGATGACTAGCTGCCTTCTCTTTAGTCTTACACTGCTAAATTAAGGGTGGCTAGTGCAGATAGCCCTTGTGTAGCTTTGCGGGAAATTCAAAACAAACAAACAAACCTTTTACCTTATGATAAGTTCAGTATTTATTTATCCTTATATTGTAATTTTTACCCAAGTTCAGTAAGAATGGAGGAAAACTTTTGGATAAGAGTAAAACATTGTGTTTTGTTACAAAGCTATACTCCTATCTTTTATAGATATATTCCTCACTTGAGAGTAATAAGGTCATAGTTTACAACAGTGGTAGACTCAAATTACATTAGGTGGTCTGCATAAAATATTTATCTTTATGAGCTCTGAGGAAAATTGGTTACATGTATAGTAATTTCATAAACTCTGGTAAGGGGGAAGAGAGGAGCATAAGTATAATTGATGAAAATTTATCTATTTGTGATAAAATAATTGATAGTGTAACTTTGCTCTTGGGTAGAAATTATTTTACATTAATTCATTATTATTTTTTTTGTACAGTAATTTGTTTGCCTTTTAAATGAATCAACTTTAAGTACATGAAGATGACTAAAATGATCCTGGTTGTTTCAGTTCTCAATAACGGAGTGAAAAAAAATGTTAAAAAAATACTGGTAACAGATGTCAATTGAATATCATCTCAAAATTATTTTTTGTAAGTGTATATGTAATATTTTTGTAACTGTTATTTGCTGTAGGAAATAATTTATTAAATGATCTTTAAACCTATTCTCTCATTTTTGTTATAGAAATATGCAAGAAGTGCCAATTATGGACAGTAACTTCTAATATATATATGTAGTACAGATTTTATTTTCAAGAATATTGCAAGTCAGTTGACTTCACTTACAATAAGAACCAAGTTTATCAGGATATGGAGAAAGAGGATTTAAGCAATTTCGGATTAGTATCTAATCCTAGTAAGTCTGTATTAAATTCTGATCACCAATCAACAGAAAGAGCTTCTTTTAGGTTCCATGAAATCCAAGTCAAAGAACTTGATGAGGTTATTGAAAAGCAGGCAGTTCTAGATGAATCAAACTTACTGATGCCAAAAGAACAGAGAAAAGAAATGGAAGCTTTGACTAAGGCCAGTAATTCTGAAAGTCATATGAACTGTGGAGCTGATAAGACAAAACTTGATTATACAGGGACAGATCATCTACAAGATATTCATAATATGGAAGAGCCCAGTTTCATCCCAAAATGTGATGTGAAGATAGTTTATTCAAAAGATTTTGATGAACAAAATGAAGTATTGACTACATCTCTCAAAGAGGATCCATGTATTGGAGATGTTGGTGACCAGAATGAAGATCAGAGTAAAACTTCTGAGAAAGATGTTGAACTTGTAAATATTTCTCCTGTAAATCAGTGTGTTTTAAGTCGAGAACTTGACTTGAAGGATGGTACAAAATGTCATTCAGGAGTAGATATGTCAAAAGACAACCTTGAAATTTCTGCAAACCAGATTTATTCAAATATTAAAAGCATACATAAAACTGGTGAAGTACAACTGGAGATTACAACTCATGATACAGAAGATTGCTATAACATCAGTTCAAATGAACATTCCTTAAGTAATGAAAAGTTTCAACAGCATTTAATTTCATCTTCAGCAATGAAACCAGACTTATTGGTTGATAAACAGATTTCAGAACATTCGAATGAAGATTGTTCAGAAACAATGGAAGTTTCAGGATGTGTTGTTAAGGCTACTGAAGGTGAGAACCATTATGGAAAGGCTCCATTACTTAAGAAAGAATGCCAGGAAGTCCAAGGGGGTAATGTTGCTGTCATGCAAAGCATTACTGCTTATCGAGATGTGAAAACTGCAGATTGGTCTTGTGATAGTGAGAGTGATAGTCATTCTCCTTCTGTTATAAGCACATCTTCCTCTTCATCATCTTCTGAAGATTCAAGTGATGATGAAAGCTCTTCTTCAACCAGTTCCCCTGAAAGGTTAGTGAACTTTCATTGTTTTTGTTAATAAGATTACAAAAGAAATTTCAATTTAAAAACAATTGGAAATTGTATACTGCATGTTTATTTTTAAATGTTTGTGTGTTATGCATCAAGGAAAGGATGGTTTGTAATAACAAAAATTTTTTTGCCCATATGAAGGAAAGTAGAATGCTTTACATCACTAAGATGGGGAACATGTCTAGTTGTTATGGATCGGGAACAGGCCTAATCGTTATGGTTTGGACTGGTAATCACTACAGGCTTAACCTAACGGGCTTCCCAGCTATTTGTATAATCTCCTATATTTTGGCCCTTTTTTTCCTATATAGTCCGATAGTTGTAAGATTTTTCCTATAAAATTGCAAGATTTGTGCCACGAAGAATGCTTCTACAAATGGCGTGAATGTTAGCATCTCAGACAGAACAGAAGATAGCACATGGTTCAAGATCATATTCATTATATGGAAAATATTGCATAATACTCCAGTGATGAAACAGGTGTACGTAAGTGCCAGGTAACATGCAGAACAGAATGCATGTAGACTTGCTAGTATGTAAATTAAGGTTTATACTGACTCGGACTAAGACACAAAATCTAATTTTGTAATAAAAGGCTGGAATGTGATGACTGTAAGGGGTGATGGAGGCCATTTTCTTTCATTGATGTTAACCTTCTGTTATTGACAGAGTTATACTGACTCAGACTAAGATACAAAATTAGATGAATATTTTATCCACAAAACCGTGTACAATACCTGTTCAGGTTTTTCATCTGCATGCATGCAAAGACAGATGTAGATGACGTGGGCATTATTTTTTAGCCTCATCTGACTCTAGTAAATGAAACCACCTGACCCTGAACTTGTTATTTACACATACCTAAGATTTCCAAAGAGATTTCATTGTTCAAAAGGTAGGAATGACAAGTATTTTTACTGAAACTGTAAATGTGGTAGTGTGGTCCATGTTGGAAGTCAAGCAAGAAGTATGAGCATGTGTAGTGTACCATTTGGAAAGATGAATTTGATTCTGTTGTTGCAGATTGCAACCAAGATGCTCGCATTTCCATAGACTCCATTGCATCAGTTCAAAAAACATGCATAGCAAGACAACATGCATGTTGCTGGTCCCTGGGTAAAAACCAACTTGAGTATTGGTGACTGGAATCACATGATTAGCTTGGAATTTGTGCAAAATCCAATTTCTGAAGAGGGTTCATAGTCTAATAAAAATAAAGGGAATGGGAGAGAATGTCTATTGTGATGACATCACAGTCCATAGACTGATCATATACTAGGATGTAGATCTATAGATCCTTGTTGAAATTTTATTCAGGAACAAGTGTGCTGCAAAACAGTCCTATGCTACATGTAATGCTCACCTAGAAGAACAGAAGAAAAGGCTAGAGGAAGAGAATAAAAAAAGAAAGGAGCATAGATAGGAAGAACAATTACAGAAGGAGAGATTAGATCAACTGATAAATGACAAGAAAACTTTAGATCAAAAAGAGAAGAGCTTGGAAGCCTAGGAAGCAAAGCTAGAGACAGAGATGAATGCAGCAGATACACTGATTAAAGAAGCCATTGCTAGAGTAGAATCTGCAATGGAGTGAGAGATGAGATCAACTGATAAATTACAAGAAAACTTTAGATCAAAAAAGAGAAGAGCTTGGAAGCCTAGGAAGCAAAGCTAGAGACAGAGATGAATGCAGCAGATACACTGATTAAAGAAGCCATTGCTAGAGTAGAATCTGCAATGGAGTGAGAGACACTCGATAAACAAGAATTGTCTCTAGCTCATATTTTGCTTGATACTGCAAGAAAAAAGAAAGAAGCTTCCAAAGATGAATTAGCATTGTACAAAAAGACAAGATACAGTGTAAATTTGCAGAGGAATAAATTACTAGATAAAAGCCTGGCCCTTTGTAACCCAAAATAGGGACCTTCTACTTGTGAAGGCATACCTTGCCAAGAGAAATCAAAGGAGACATCTGATAAACCCTATAACTCTCAACAAAGTTCATTGTCTTCTTCACAGGAATCAAAGAAGACGTCATCTGAAAAGAAATTGAAAAGACAATCATCAAATGAGTCTCTTGGTAGTCTATCTTCTAAGAAAGGGAAAAAGAAATAAACTTTAGCTTCTATGAGCAAGTTGATTTCCATACCTGACTTTTAAAGCATTTTATGTAGCAGTGTAAAGTGAAACTATGCCATCTTTATACTTTATTTATAACATTGTGCTCAAGAACATAGTTGTACCATAGTTAAAGTTATGATCAGAGTAGTTGTATATTGATAAAGTCAGTTCTTTTGAACACACTTGATTTATGTACCAGTAAAGCTCTTCTAACTTGTATGCTGACTGATACTGTAAATTATTTTGAACTGTGATATCAAGAACCGACTTGAATGTTGTTTAAGTATAGTATCTTTAATCATATCATGTTATGTTAGACATATTTATAAATTTGAAATACTAGTCTGATAAATCATGCATCTCCATATTGTACAATGTGTAATGTTAATGTAGTTAATTTAAAGAATATCAGAGTTATGCTTATAATATATTATCATTTTATGTTAATTTATCTAAAGTGTTACACCAGAAGAGATGTAAAATTGTTTTGTTTTTTAATTTCATAGCATAAAGCATTTTTCTTTAAAGAAAAAGGTTGAAAATTTCTGTTTCATCAAAGTGGAAATGTGTAAATCTTTCTATACTGTAAAATTATTTAGACCCATCTGATTTTGTAATAAAAGGCTGGGATGTGATGGCTGTAAGGGGGTGATGGAGGCCATTTTCTTTCATTGATGTTAAACATACTGTTACTTTTGTTATTTGTACATATATATGCCCAAAATGTGCACACGTAACCATGGACTATTTATCTAACTTTCTGAATTGCAGTATTTGATGTGCTAAAACCTCCTATAATTTAAGCTATCTTCCTACAGAAACTCCTATATTTCATAGAAATAAAATACTATATTTTTGGCACCAAAAAGTGCTGGGAAGCCTATAATCATCATGAATTTGCTGATCATTTGACTTCCATCTAGTACTAGGTCATGGTCTCTATGTGTTGCTTGATGTATACTTCTGATATCCAAATACCACAGGACAGGGGCAATGTGAGCACAACATCCCACCATTCAGGCACCTGAAGAAAGAAGTAAAGAAAATAAAGTGAAGAAAAAAAACAAAATGGTGCAAAATTAATAATGTGTTGTGCAACTGCTGTGCTTCATTCCTGCAAAAACATGAAGTGCTGAATCCACTGTTAAAATCCTAGAAACAAAGTTCAATTTCAGATTCAAAGAATGCAAAAATAGTTCTGGACTTCCAAGAGTCCAGAACTGTTCTGAATTCGAGTTCTATTTAGCACATCCCTATGCATGAATAAAATATGAGAAAGTATCAGGCACCACAATGAAAGTTTTAGTCACCATGGCGACCTGGTGCTCAGGATTTGTTGAGGCCTGACTTAAGAACACAAATATTTCTCTTTGTGAGGGAATTTCACAAACAAAAACAACACAACTTCGTTTGTGGACTGATTGCAAGAAATATTTTGAAGACAGGAACATGAATGGAAAAATGTATAAACAGAGAAACATGTTTGAGTATTTGATGTTGTTTTTTTAATATGTATTTTCCTTTTTTTTTGTCTCTGTATTATATACATGCACGATTATATTGTACCATGTCAAATAAACTTATTTGAATTGAATATAACCCCTTTGACGCTTATAGAAATGACAACTGTCTGAAAGCACTCACTTCGGTAGCTTTCTCTTGTTGCACTAAGTAAAATGACAAGGAATAGTGGCATTTAGTGGAAAGAATCTCTGTAACTACTTAGTGAACCTGAGTGCTCTGTTGTGCCGGATGCACTAATTGCATTAAAATCAAAGCATTTTTTGCCAACAGTGCATTGCAGTCGGTTTTCATTGCAATTTTCCTTATTGAAATAACACGTAATGATAAAAGATGATTGTAAATTGCTCATTAAACAATCATATTGCATGAACACTTCGATCCAAAGGATTGGGTTGACTGCACATTTTATATTTATTCATCACTTATTTTTGGGAAAATTACCATTAAATTGTTTCAATGGGCATCTGCTAGTTAGTGGTATTGGACAAACCCTCCACTGTTGCAAGCCATCCTTTTGTCATTTATTTTTTTATGGTGTATTTATGCATAGTATGAGAGAATAATCCACATAACAGCTCTTTTTTTATATGTAAAAACAAGTCCAAATGTTCTCATATTGTCAATTTTCAAAACTTCAATAATACAAATTTTTAAAGTAAAGGAATTGCAAGTTTTGTTGAAATATATGACATAACTTTAACTTAAATTATTTATATATGTCTACCTGAAAATTTTTTCTAAGTACTATTCCAGAAAACAAAAACACTAAACAAGTGACAAGACCTCCACAAAACAAGATGAAAGTAAATGGAGAATTAGACTTACTGGTAAGTATACATTGTGAGGGGAATTTTGTGTCATCTTTTTCTGCAACACATAAATAACCTAAATAACTTATTATATTTGTTAGTTTGATTGTACTTGTTTACCCATAGCTTAATAGAGTTACTTAAAACGTGATGAATAAATGCTTTCATGTGCTGAAAGGTAATGATCCATAATCTTCAGTTACTTATTTCAATTAAACATTACTCAGTTTACTCCTTTGATACAAAATACATGTATAATATTTTGCTGGCTGTCCTAAAACAAATATTTGGGATCTCTTCAGTTTTCACATATGTTGACCTATATTTCAACAGAGAATTCTTACTTCCCAAAGTTACCTCAAACCATTGTTTGTAGGGTTATGCATATGATATTTTATACCAAAGTGTATTACTAACACTGGCCATTTTGAATCTATTTCCATAGATTTTTGGGCAAATATTTTAAAAGCCAAACTTAGAATATGATTCAAACATCAGGCAAACAAATAATCAAGAGCTAAAAAAGTGTACATCAAATTGTTTAATGAATTTATTTAAACAAAAGCTGTTCATGAGACCCCCAAGACTTCTTTCATCTCTAATGTTTTTAAGGTTGAACAACCACTTGTGAAGAAGGTGCTCATTCTTGGTAATGTGCAAACAAATGCTGAAACTAATAAGAATAATGGTAATACTTAAAGTGCATGGTATAAATAAATATTTATTTGACATGCTGTTAGGTATGTATATCACATTTAATTAATCGTTGTTGGTAATTAACATTTAAATAAGAATAATAATCCTGGCATTTGGAAATGTTTGCTGTGCATTGATCTTTAGTCATCTGTCAGCATTTTAATTTACCTTTGTTATTGATTAAGTTATCTAAATAGAAATATATCAGCTGGAGGTTCTTATCAAGAAACCTACTTAACTTGTACTAAGTATTAACTGAGTGTCAATTAAAAATACCATTCTTTGTCAATTGCATTTTATTACTTCAACCTCATTAAAAAGAGGCTTTAATTGTTGTTAAATATTCAATGAATGTTAATAATGATTAGTTAAATGTGATATACATATGTAATTGCATGTCAGTTGAATGTTTATGCCATACCCTATAGCTTTATCCAAATAATTGTTCTACATGTTTTGTGGTGTGTATTCCTAAGTAGACTGAGGAATTATAACAAAGTTAGCAAACGTTTTACAGTTCTTGTAATTATTATTTTGCATGCTTGTATTGAAATAAATAGCTCACTTTTATTGGGCAATGTATAGTCATATATATACCAACTGATATATTTATAACAGCAAAGAGCTATGTTTGAACACCATCATGAATGGCTTTAATAGGGTATTGCAGACAATTAGTCTGGCATGTAAAATATTGACTATATATATATATAGAGAGAGAGAGAGTGAGTGAAGGAAAATGCATGTGATGGCTAAATGTATAGCTAAAGGCTACAGTTCAATTATTTCCAATTTATTTCTTACCATGTGGTAATCGTGCTGTCCTGATTAAAAAGCACTTCCATATTATTTTTTTGGGCCTTGATAGTAGACTGGCTGTTTACATAATTCATTATAAATCAATATACAACTCTCCAAAACCAAGCGAGCCTTGTTTACTTTGATACATGAAGCTAATAAGTTCCTTGTCAATTTTCTTAAATGCATGATTGGCACAACATTTTCTATGCTTTTACATAAGCTTGAGGACTGTTGTGTCATCTATATTTTATGAATTTCTTTCTCTTACATCTGCACAAGAAAGGATGACAAGATACAGAAATTAAATCAAACTGAGCCTTTCTTTGTGCAGTGACATTGGTCTGCCCACAGCTTATGCTCTTGTAGAATATTACATGCAATAAATTGCTTATCTACAAATGAATAAATAATAGCTTTGTCCCCTGGTGGGTCAACAGCAAAGTTAAGGGATTATAACACTAAAAATTGGAGT